CAAGTTACCTGAAACTAAAAGCAAACTGTCAAAATCCAAACGACTTTGAGCTTTGTACTGTTTAACATACGTGTCACAATTTAATGAGACAATTCGTCAGTTTAAGGTAAGTTGATTTAGGGTGCTTGTACATTAATAGGAACTTAGTGGCCTTGTAATGTCACTCGTCCCTCTATGTTCATGACTTGGCTGTCACTTGTCGTCGCTTACGTGATTAATTATTTACGCATTGAAATGACAAGTGACAGTGTAGTGACATCAATAATAACAATGGAAATGTGCTTCTTAAGCTGCAAAGCAGCGCCATCTCTTCGCATTGTAGGTAAACCACAATGTCAAATGAATACCTTTGGAAATATCAAACATTTGAAAGGAGAAATATAGGTAATTATAGTTATAATTTTTTTTAAGCATTTAACTTGAGTCGGTTCATTTTCTATTTGATGCTAGTATGCCGTATCTTCCCTTTTTGTTTTAATCTAAGATGGTCACCAATCAAGGGCGGATCCAGCTCTGGCGCCAGGGGGGGTTCATATAGTCGTGGTCAAGTCACAGTGGGTACAGATTGTGAAGTGGGTACAGATGGACCCAGCCCAGGGGGGGGTCATGACCCCCATGACCCCCCCTCTGGATCCGCCCTTGTCACCAATCCCTTCTCTGAACAGTGCTAGACATTCGAAAATGCCGGCGGCTAAACAAAAAAATCTTCCAGTAAAAGACACAAATTCTGAGTCCATTAACTCGTTCATACCTACGTAGCGTGCAAAGTGATTCGGTCGTTTTGATATTTCCAAATTTCGTTATCAGACAAGCAAGTATGGAAGGTACAATCACGAAAAACCAAGTTGCTACAATATGTCAAATTTAGTCAATGGACTATGTATCGTAAATCAAGCAAATAAAGCTTTAAATCGGTTGTATAAATTTGAAACTTGCTTAGCTTGATATGCGGCTGTCTGTACAATCTCACGCACAAAACGATTATCGCTGATCAGTATCAGACACGCCATTGAGTGTTGTGCCTATATCGATATCGGAGACATGTATCGATACCGAAAACTCAAACTCATATTAATTTAGGATTCACTTAAGGATGAATTCGGACTGCCGTATAAATATGTAATTACTACACTAAGAGCCATAATACTAAGAAACGTCATAATTAATTAAATACTTCACGCAGTCACGTGTTGTCTCTGGTTATAGCAAAGAAAGTGACAGAATTGACTTTTATGGGAGCGCCCGTAATTCTTTTATTAATTAGTCTAGGCTGTAACAAACACGTAGGAAAGCCATTGGCTTGACTGTAGCCTAGCCTGTACCCCTAGCACGAACCAATATCGAATTCGAATAGTTTGCAAACCGAAATGTCAATGTCAAATTTTGTATGGAAACTTGAACAGCAACGCCACTTTGGACGTAACGGGAACTAAAAATCAGTACACATTTGACAATGACATTTCGGACTCGCAAACGTTACGAATTCGATTTTGGTTCGTGCTAAGGGTACTGTTCCAAAACGAAAAGAGGTACCTAAATCAAGGTCATTCGTATACAAACCGATGTTTGTAAATCTACTGCGTGAGATGAGATATTGTGTACTGAGAAGAACAGTTTCTTAAAAAGTAAGAAACTATCATTAGATTTATCGACATTTTCCCATCACTAATGCGTATCAGATTAATAAATACCCTATTAAATGGGCGAATGACCTTGATTAAGGTACCTCTTTTCGTTTTTCACGGAAAAATTTACTTAAAAAGTGAGTAACAAAGTGTACTGAGAGCAACATACCTTGTCGTGCTATCTATTATATAAAGAGAGAAAAATACATCATCATCATCATTATCATCAGCCTCTTAATGTCCCCACTGCTGCCTGGCCTGCGGGGCACAGGCCTTCCCTATCGATGGAATAGAGAGATTGGGCCATGACCCACCACGCGGGCCCAGTGCGGATTGATGTTTAAATCTAAAGAAAATATAACTCGAAAAAAATCCACGCGGACCAGGCAGCAGACGGGACCCGAAACCGCACCTTTCGCAATCCGGGCGAATGAAAAATATAGTTTTTAGAATTTTTGTCTGTTTGTCTGTATGTATGTCCGGGAACTCAAATAGCACTGCATGGATTTACTTCAAATTTGGCACGAATATTATTAAGAAGTCGGGTCAACATATAGGCTGCATATTATCACAAAACTCCACCCCTAAGGGGTAATACGGGGGTTGGAAGTATGTAAAAAAGTCCTATGTTTTTGAAGTAAGAGACTTGAAATTTAACATGTATGTTATAGATATTGTTACCATGTACCTTGTTTTTTATGAGTCTCCGATATTTTACTTCAGTTACTCCGTGATCATGGCGCTTGCAACAGTGCCGAAATATCGGAGACTCATAAAAAACAAGGTACATGGTAACAATCCCGTTAATATCTATAATGTTAGTGACCATGAAAGTTTAAAACAATATATACACTACACAATATAATATATTTAACATGTATGCTCAATAGATGGTGTAGAGGTGTACTAATAATGTATCTTTAGAAATAAACCCCATTTTGGGGTCAAAAAGTATGTGCAAATAACTAACTCCCCGAGTACGAAGTCGTGGGCGGCCGCTAGTATGAAATAAGCAGTGCCTTTATACAAATTTCTTGTTCCTGATCTTCTTATCTGTTTAATTTCGTGTGTACTAAATTAGTAAATAAATAAATACTTTAGGGACTTTTTGGCGGGATCGGGAAGCGTCACTTTAGCAGTTTTGTTTTTCTTGTTAAAATAGTACATTACGATACGCGTGACCTAAACGCCGGTGCTAAACGCCGTCCAGTAATAGACAACTTTGGCCACAAGTATCGTATACTATTTTATAGCAAGTGTGACATAAACCCGCCCCGGACGCGGGCAAGAGGGGGATCTCCTCCGGCCCCCCCGAGGGATGCGATTAGTGTTTTGAAAGTAAAATTCATGTATTGCAATCACAAAGAATTGCAATACAGACTGCAAGTCAAACTCTGAAAAGAAAGAATTCCGGTTCAGATTACCATTTTGAAAGTATATTTCAAAAGGAAAAAATCAAATATCATTACAACAAAATAGAATTTCAATGTATCCATGAACGTTTATTCCTTGATTGGCATAGTAAAGTTAAGTTACGCGTATCGTAATGTACTAATTTTACATGAGTGAAGTTGGTCAATTCATTTACACACCGCGCAGAAATAGGCAACTTAGGTTACGGAAAAGCGTGCGTAAAGTGCGGGTTTAGGTCACACTGTGCTATAAATTATGTTGTGGCGGATGTTAGTGTCTAATAATGGTGGATTATTAACCACTAAGTGTTCGGGAACATGCACAAGTGTTGGCAAGTGAAACAAAATAGCGGAAAGTGTCTTTCGACGTTCCCTAAAGAAGTCCACGGGGAGGTTCCAGTAAATCCCCACACTTTTACCGAAACATAGGGAAAGGGGATTGACTTGACTGCCACTTACTTTGACTTGATTTATTACTTTGACCACGAGTGCTATAGCATTTGTAAACATTTTGACTGACATTGGCTAAATGCACAAGCCGTGCTAAGCCATTTAGAAAAAAAACCCTTAGACTTTCTACGAGTACCAAAGTTAAATTAAGCAAACTTGTTTTTATGGTATCGATTTAATTTAAATTCATAACTACACTAATTTAGTTTCACATTTACTATTTGGTGATGAAAGTTAATATATTCAAAAACCCATTTGCTAATGCGTTTTTGATGTTGCGCTGTTTTTTACGTGATTTTATTTATAATTTGTTTTTTGCCTTTGTTTTTTAGCGATTTTCATTATAAACTTGAACTAAAAAACTGACTTGGCACGTGCTGATACAAAAATTATAAAAAAATAGTGCGTGGAAGCTCGATGGCGCGGGTGGTTAGCATTTTCAACTGCGATCGTTGAAGTTAAGCAACTTTCGCAGTGGTCGGTCATTGGATGGGTGACCAAAAATCTTGTATCTCGAGTTCCTCCGTGCTTCGGAAGGCACGTTAAGCCGTTGGTCCCGGCTGCATCTGCAGTCGTTAGCACCCGCCAATCCGCACTGGGCCCGCGTGGTGGGTCATGGCCCAATCTCCCTATTCCATCCATAGGGAAGGCCTGTGCCCCAGCAGTGGGGACATTAATAGGCTGATGATGATACTTGTATGAAAAGTAGACTTGCGGATGTCACGCCTATTGGGACCTAGGGTTCACACTAGGTTAGGTTAGTGTTGTTTGTGACCATGAAGCGCGAGCTGAGCGAGCGTAGCGAGCATTCCGCGGTAGCTGCCGGCGAAGCGTCAGAAAAAAAACCACGGGTTGCACTCCGGGAGTGCCGGCAGAAGTGAAAACTTGAATATTAACGTTGTGCATTTTTTAGTATTGTGTTATGTTAGGGAATAATTTTGCACGAATTGCTTTAATTTTATAAGTATAAAAGTACTATCATGTATGTGGTAGAATACAATATTTATTTATTGCGCTATCGTACGCAAACATGACAATTTATATTACATTAAAAAAAGTTAATCTCTCAGAAAATCAACTTACATGAATCACGTTTAAGCGCACTAAGCGACATATATTGTAAAGAAATCAACTTACCTAAATCACATTTAAGCGCATCTAGCGATCTCTATTGTAAAAAAAATGCATTTTCTTCAAAATAAAGCTGCCACGTGGACGTCCTAGATAGACTTATTATTATAATAAGATTAAATAAAATATTACTATGTTTCGTCCTATATATTGAAAGTCAACAACCTTTCCAAATTTTATTGTGTGTCATGATGCGATCAGCCCACGTGTTCAACCTGACGCGAGTTTAACATTTTGTACCCATAAAAAAGTGTACAACGCCGCTAAAGAAGTTTATACTTCAAAAATTCGTAAGTACTAAGATTTCGCAAAGCCCTAGTTTCACGACATACATATTCTATCGCCGCTGTAAAATGATGTAAACAAAATCAAAAAAAAAATATAATTTCTTTGTCGACAACTTTATTTTAGCAAACTTTTTTTACTTATCATTGGTGCAATTGTCATGTTTAGTAAGAAAAATATCTCATTTATTTACAATAATGGAGGTAGAAGAGATGGCAACATTAAAACGTAATAAATTATATATGCCTCTTCAACTGTAGTAGATATATAATAAGGTTGCCATTAAGATCTTGTAGTTTCCTATAATGTCGCCAGCGGAATTAGTTCTTGTAGGACCTGAAAAAAAAAAACTTTTAAAGCTTTTACACACTTGATTATTACACCCAGGAACGGATTTACGTAGGGGCTTTGGGGGGCTAGAGCACCGGCGGGGACCCCCGTCATCCCATGAAATACCGAAAAGAAGTTTGACCTGTACATGTATCCCTACCTTCTACATAATAAAATGCATGCAAGTTCGAAGGCATAATAGGCATAAAAGCGGAATTTAGAACAATTAGGAATCAGATGATTTTCATATCCTTAAATGGGCCCCGCATCAATTTCAGCCCCGGGCCCCGCCATTTTCAAATCCGCTCCTGATAAAGGCGGGTGCCTTTGCAGGATTAAAATCCATTTTACGGTTCAAAATACCTGTGGGTTTATGTGGCTTTGTTCAATTGATTTCCCATAAAAGTTGGAACTTTATGGGAGTGGACTATTCTTTCACCCCCTTAAAAGCAATTTCTGGGAAACATATGCTTCCCTGTCTACCAAACTTCAATTAAATCAGTTCAATAGTTAAACGTGAAGAGGTAACAAACAGACAGTCAGACACACAATTAAAACATTAGTATGGATATAATTGAAGAACAATGTAGCTTTAATAAAACCTTCGATTATTTATACGCCTTAATGGAGCAATCCAAATATACCACGCAAACAAAATGGCCCATCTTACGCTCAAAGTGTGCGTGACTCTAATGTCTGATTGTGCTAAAGCAGTCAGTGTGTGCTTGCCTCTAATGTCTGATAGTGGTAAAGCACTCAATGTGTGCGTGGCTCTAATGTCTGATTGTGCTAAAGCAGCCAATGCGTGCGTGACTCTAATATCTGATTGTGCTAATGTAGTCAATGCGTGCGTGATTCTTATGTCTGATTGTGCTAAAGCAGTCAATGTGTTCATATGTAGCGACGAGCGTATCTATCTACCATATGAAGTACATATTGTTTGTCCCGTGTTTCTAATGTCTGATTGTACTAAAGCAGTCAATGTGTGCGTGACTCCAATGTTTAATTGTGCTAAAGCAGTCAATGTGTTCGTATGTAGCGACGAGCATATCTATCTTCCATATGAAGTACATATTGTTTGTCCCGTGTTTCTAATGTCTGATTGTACTAAAGCAGTCAATGTGTGCGTGACTCCAATGTTTAATTGTGCTAAAGCAGTCAATGTGTTCGTATGTAGCGACGAGCATATCTATCTTCCATATGTAGTAGATATTTTTTGTCCCGTGTTTCTAATGTCTGATTGTGCTAAAGCAGTCAATGTGTGCGTGACTCCAATGTTTAATTGTGCTAAAGCAGTCAATGTGTTCGTATGTAGCGACGAGCATATCTATCTACCATATGTAGTAGATAGTTTTTGTCCCGATTTACTTTGGTGTTAATACGGTATTCAAAAGTGGTAGGGCTAACGGATTGACCGCTCGAATTGCAGCGCCCGTTTGAGGAAGTTACCTTCCCCATACAGAAGACCAGGATGAAGTAACACTACCTTTTGGTGGTGTTGTGTTTCTGTCGATGAGTAAGGTTCCAGGTCAGGGTAGGCAATGGCACAAGTGATATTTTTGTCACGCAAGTGGTGGCCGCTTACCATCAGGTGGACCATAATTTTTTTTTATAGATATTTCCGATGTCGCCGACCAGTCTTACGCAAGGGAGGAGACGTGCGGGAGGAGGAACCACGACCAAGGGGACGAACGACCAGCGGCGGCGGACACTACTTGCTTACGCGCCTCGCACAGCATCAATAATTAACCAAATTTCCCCATCTTCCTCTAATTCAAATAATGTGTTGAATTTATCAAATATCTTTATATATAAAACTCAAAGGTGATTGACTGACATAGTGATCTATCAACGCATAGCCCAAACCACTGGACGGATCGGGCTGAAATTTGGCGTGCAGGTAGATGTTATGACGTAGGCATCCGCTACGAAAGGATTTTGATCAATTCTACCCCCAAGGGGATAAAATAGGTAATGAAAGTTTGTATGAAACTTTGTCAATTTTAAACCGATCGGGCTGACTTTGCATGCAGATATAAGAAGAATCATAGATGAATGTCATTGTGTATAATACAAGCCTGAGAACAAAAACTGTAGTCTACACTTCAGCTCTACACCGAAGCGAAGCGAGGGCGGGCCGCTAGTTGATTCATATTCTCCTAATAAAACTCTTGGTCTTAATTGGATATGCGATTCTGATTTATTAACGTTTTCCATAAATATTAAAACAAATGATAAAATAACTAAACGACACATACTTTCTGTTATTAGTCAAATATTTGACCCTATGGACCTACTAAACCCAATAGTAGGTCCATTTAAAGTCCCCATAGGACCCTTCTCATCCGACAAATGACTCCACCCCACCTGCTGTTAAGTGAAGGTGAAGTCCAGACGCGAAGATAACTGATACAGCAGTTCTACCTGCCACACCAGCCACCGTCACCCTGCCAGCCTGCAAGTTGCTTCTTCACGCCTCTTTTAAAGGATCCCAGGTTGTAAGAGGCAGGGAAAACGTGAGCGGGCAGAGCATTCCATTTACGGATAGTCTGACAAAAAAATGAGTCACCAAATTTCTTTGTACGCGTTGGAATTGTGGCCACAGTTAGACGGTGACAATGTAGGCCAGCGCGCGTGGTCCTCTGAAGGAAAGGGGAAGGTGGAATAAGAGAGAATAACTCCTCAGAACACTCCCCGTGGTACGGACGATAGAACGCGCTTAATAACGCCACGTCACGGTGTAATTGAAGAGGCTCGAGGTGTTTATTCACCTCCTCATCGCCTTGTTGTTGTTGTACGCTTGATTGACACCCTCTTCACATAAAAAAATACTACATAATAGTACATTAAATGTCTTAATACTCACTGCATACTCCCTGGTCGTGTAAATACGGGTAGTGGAAGGAGCATTGACACAAGCTGTTCCTACATTCCAGCTTGTGGGAGCCACTCTCTAAGAAGCAAACGCTGCTTGTGCGACAGGACTCGAACAAACCTAAGATAATAAAAAATATGAATATATTTTTACTGGTTTAATTATGTTTTAAACGTTTAATATTTTATTCACAAATTCACAATATATACAAGAACAATAATTTACATTTAGAAATTGAACTAAAACTACACTAAAACTAGACAAAAATTTCAAATATTAAAAAAATAGCTGCCCTAAGTCTTCCCCGTCGGCAATGGTTCCCAGGACGCTGGCGGCATTTCCCCGCTGAATGGCGAGGCTTATGCGCTGAGCGAAATAGCCGCCAGCTATGTCTCCGGTGGTCTCCACCAATCTTTTCGCGATATCTTTGAAAAGATGGTGGGCACCGGGGCCATATATGTATACATATTGACATGAAACTTCTTTGGGTGATTCCTGGGACCAACGTTCTTCGCATCAGATCCGTGGCTTTTATTTTATTTCATTATTAGAAAAAACTAAAATTATATGGCTAAAGAGGGCTGAAAAACAAGTCATTCTGTAGATGAGGCACACACGTAGACCTTATAGATTCTTGAAAAAAAAAAGAAAATGTTTTGGCTCGCTACGGATCTGAAGAATTATATGAATCAAGTAATGGCGTCGCGTAAGAATCGCCTGTTAGAATGCTGCAATGAAGAAAATTTTAATTTCTTTAATTAAATATTATTTTTCATCAACACTACAACAGTTAAGTAAAGTTTGGAGTGGTACTTTATTCAAGTTGGTCTATTACTCCAGTTAATATTTCAATGTGACCCTTAAAATCATGGGTCCCAGGAATCACCCCTTTGCGCACGCTTGACTTGGGGGGTAAGTTGGCGAACGCGTTACGCGTTACGAAAAGTGTAATCGGGTGAGACGAACGGGAGTTGAGTGAGGGATATAAGAAAACTTCATTACGCACGCTTGACTTGGGGTGTCAGCTGGTGAATGCGTTAAGCGTTACGAAAAGTGTAATCGGGCGAGGCGAACGGGAGTTAAGTAAGGGATATAAGCAAGAGAAAGCAGTGCGCGCGCACATTTTCTTTCTCTCTTTCTCTTATAGCTAGTAAATGAAATATGTATATGTACATACATTTATATATTGTACATACATATATATAAATATACATACAGATGGAGCTAAAGAAGTTTCACTTCAGCCGTGTGGTCATAAGCATACTCGTTTTTTTCTAATACTGACGAGAACAGGCTATTTGACAGTATGAAAAATAAAGTACCATTTGTTGGCATCTGTATTTAATATGAATATTAGCAGCGATTTCACTATACCAGCAGAACAAATAAACAATAACTTTTCTAAAAAATCATTAAATAGAAATGATTTTTAACTGTTAGTTGGTCACGTGACCGAAAACGCCTGGGATTGGCGAAGACTAAAATGACGTCACACGCTAGTAAACTTCCGGTCAAAGTGACAGTGTATGGTTTGACATTATAATGACAGTCATGTGACGTCACATACTAGTGAGACGCCATAATGTCCAGAGAAACGTTTTCACGGCAAAGTGAGAATGAAATGTTTGCTTTAGACCCGTGTTATAAGAAGATTCTCAGTGATTGATCTAGTCTTGAGCATAGTTAGAAATTATAGCACATAGCGACATCCCTCTCTAACTGTACTCAAGTAAAGATCAACACTTAGTTTTCATTCTGTAATACGGGCCTAAGTTTTTTTAACTGAAATACACAACAGAATGGTGAATTACCACTTTTTATGGACTCCATAAACATTATTAAATAAAGTGAGATCGTTTTATTAAACGTGTCAAATACCCTCCCCAAAGTAAACATTGTAAGGCTTGTGTTATGGGATAGTAGGGTAACGGATCTATCCGTAAATATTTCCAATCATCATCATCATCATCATCAGCCTATTAATGTCCCCACTGCTGGGGCACAGGCCTTCCCTATGGATGGAATAGGGAGATTGGGCCATGACCCACCAAGCGGGCCCAGTGCGGATTGGCGGGTGCTAACGACTGCAGGTGCAGCCGGGACCAACGGCTTAACGTGCCTTCCGAAGCACGGAGGAGCTCGAGATAGTAATTTTTGGTCACCCATCCAATGACCGACCACTGCGAAAGTTGCTCAAGTTCAACGATCGCAGCCGAACGCGATAACCACTTGCGCCATCGAGCTCCTCATATTTCCAATACTCACACCAATTAGCCTAGCCCCAAGCTAAGCACTATAAGGCTTGTGTTATGGGATACTAGGGTAACGGATAGAATACATATACTATACATATATAAGTATATTTATATAGAAATACATATTAAACATCCATGACTGGAGAACAAATGCTCGTATTGATCACACAAACATCTGCCCCCACCGGGATTCGAACCCGGGACCTCTCGAGTCGGCGACACCATAAAACCCGGCGTACAAACCACTCGGCCAAGGAGGTCGTCAAATGTATATAATCATTGTATATAATACAAGCCTGAAAACAAAAACTGTAGTCTACACTTCAGCTCTACACCGAAGGGAAGCGAGGGCGGGCCGCTAGTAAATAAATAAAACAAGTTCCAACGTGTTAGATGCACTGATTTTATTTATTTATTGACGTTTCGCATCAATTTATTTATTTATTTATTATGTCGAGCTACTTTCGAAAGACTTTTAATCTTTATGCTGACGACGCAGTTTTATTTAATGAGTGATGTGCGTGAAAACCTAAAAAAACATGTAAAAAAGGAAAATATAACTAGAAAAAATTCCACGCGGACCAGGCAGCAGAAGGGTTTTCTAGTTATATATTCTTTAGATTTAAACTTCAAGCAGTTACATGCTTAAAAATATATATATAAAAAAAAATACGGTTTGTACTCCGGGAGTGTCGGTAGAAGTGAAAACTTGAATATTAACGTTGTGCATTTTTGATATTTTGGAATGGTTAGGGAATAATTTTGCACGAATTGCTTTATCAGTATAAAAGTACTATCATGTATGTGGTAGAATACAATATTTATTTATTGCGCTATCGTACACAAACATGATAATTTATACTATATTTACATTAAAAAAGTTTATCTCTCAGAAAAATCAACTTACATGAATCACGTTTAAGCGCACTTAGCGACATTTATTGTAAAGAAATCAACTTACATGAATCACGTTTAGGAGCACCTAGCGACATCTATTGTTAAAAAAAATCATTTTCTTCGCAATAAAGCTGCCACGTGGACGTCCTAGATAGAGACTTATTATTATAATACGGTAAAATAAAATATTACTATGTTCCGTCCAATATATTGAAAGTCAACAACCTTTCCAATTTTATAGTGTGTCATGATGCGACCAGCCCACGTGTTTAACCTGACGCGAGTTTAACATTTTTTACCCATACAAAAAAAAGGGTACAACGCCGCTAAAGAAGTTTTCACTTCAAAAATTATAACATGTAACAATATCATCTCACCGGTTTTAGGTTGACAGCCATCGTCTCTGTAGTGGTATCCAGTCTGACAAACGCAAATACCGCTATGGCATGCACCGGCGGGACCCATTGCTGCTGCACACTGCTCAGTGACATTACAGGGTGCTTCGAAACCAGCCACAACTGAAAATAAATAGAGAAAGTTAAATTCACATACAAATGTTATTGCTCGATTCGGAGCTCGATGGCGCAATGATAAGCGCATTCGGCTGCGATCGTTGAAGTTAAGCAACTTTCGCAGTGGTCGGTCATTGGATGGGTGACCAAAAATTTACTATTTCGAGCTCCTCCGTGGTACGGAAGGCACGTTAAGCCGTTGGTTCCGGCTGCATCTGGCCAAATCTCCCTATTCTATCCATAGGGAAGGCCTGTGCCCCAGCAGTGGGGACATTAATAGGCTGATGATGATGATGACAAATGTTTTTGGAGTAAAACTTCTTTTCGGACGGGGTGTAAATCCTATGGAAAAGATGAAACGGAAATGAAATGCGTCACGGACATATGTGTGTGTGTGTGTGTGGTATGCGTGCGCAGCTCTTCCCGACGAGCATGAAAGTTGGAGGGCAGCTCGGCGAAGGCAGTAAAGCTACGAGCGTCACGAGCGTCACACGCGGCAATATATATGTATATGAGTGATGCGTGCGCTGCTCCATTCCCCAATGCCTTATGCATTGGGGAATGCCTTACTAGTGTGTGACGTCATACTACTGTTATTAAACCGTCAAACGATACAATGTAATGTCACTTTAACCGGAAGTTTAGGCTCCGCCAATCCCAAGCGTTTTGGATCACGTGGCAATAGATAAGAAGACTATTATCTTTTTCGTGGGTTTTTAGTAAAATTATGAGTATTTTTTTGTAAAAATAGGAAAAACCTCTGCCAATATTCATTCTAAACACAGATGCTAAAAATTGGCACTTTATTTTTAATACTTTCAAATAGCCTAGGTTTAAAGATCAAGCACGTGTTTTCGAGCTGAATGGTCTTGCAGGACGGACAGGCAGACAGATGCGACAACAAAGTGTTCTTATAGGGGTTCCGTTTTTTACTTTTGAGGTACGGAGTCCTAAAAAATTAAACATTTCTCTATTACCTGGCCAGCATGAGTCTGCTGATGCGATGAACTCGGAACTGCACTGACAAGTGCTTGTGCTGTTATCGCAAATGGTGTCTTCAATAACACAGTTCGCATCTTCCTCACATCTGCCGCCGATTACTGTGAACAAAAAACGCGTTAATTTCACTTGGTTTGCATTGAGAATTACAAATTCTCGAAGTTTTTGGTATACCACTATGTACAAATGGTTCTACCGCACTACGGCGATTAATTTGTTAAAGATGAAAAATAAAAAATGAGTGCGTGTACTTATATAGGCGCGTGAGAAGTTATCCTTCTTTGGCATCGTTTAAAATTAGTTTTTAATTGCATGCAAATAATTAATTACAATAAATTTATAAAAAGTCTGGAAAAGGACATAGTCAATAAAGTTCAGTTTTAATTTGAAAAAATAAATAAATAATCAAAATATTCAATTAAAATCGCTACTGAATATAATTTATTAGAACATATGTGATTTGCACTTGTATGAAACTCAAACACGTATTCCGAATATACAAACTAGAAACATGTGGATAAATATTATAAATATGAATACCTATAACTGTTACTTTATTACAAAAAATAAAGATGTGATTTTTGGTTCTACTACACCAATGGTCAAGAGATGGCGCTGTAGTCTCCTAAATCGCGCTTTGGTTCCGTTGTTCCAGATTAATAAATACTTTTGATAGGCCTTCACAATGCAGTCGTTAGCACCCACTAAATAGAGATTCTATTTCTATTTTGTTGGTAGATTTTCTTAATGTGCGGTAAACACAAAAGTGTTAAAATTTTGTGTTACAGTGATGCGCGCGCATCTTAAAATTTCACTCTCATCATTTTTTCATAACGCGCCTAAAGAAGTATAACTTCAATAAACGCTGATAAATTACTTTTGAACTCCAGATTTCTTAGCAATGAATTGTCATGTGCTCTGTAGAAGCATTACAACAAACTAATATTATTTGTATTAGAGATTGTCAGCAGTGTATTTTTCGAAGGTGACTTCAGACGTATCTCTGAAGTTATTTTTCAATTTGACGACTCTGTTTAAAACAATACAGGGAGTAAAAAACAGCCCTTGCTGAGTTTCTTGCCGGTTCTTCTCAATACAACGTCTCCCGCCGTAGTTTTGCGAACCGATGATGTAGCTTCTTGACCTTCACAAGTGCTTGTAACAGCCTGGACTGAATAAATGACTTTTCATTTCATTAAGATATTTCTTGAACTTATGCACAATGGAATTATCCACCCCGTGTGAAAAGAACTTTCACTTGAAAAAGTTGTGCAGCCACAGTGTATACTGACCAGGAGCACAATAATCTTCAAGCTGCTGGTACCCGTCATCGCAGGTGCACAACCCGTCGACGCACACGCCATTCTCAACATCGGAACACTCCGCATCTACCTGACAGACATCTCCGAGTCCTGAGGATAGAAAATATTGATACGTAAAGAAAAACAGAATAGGGAAGGTTTCAAAAGAAGTATAAATAGCATAACACTGAAGGAGCTACATAAGTATAATAAAAAATCCCAAGTCATTTTGGTCTTATAAAAAATATAATAGTAAATTTTACATAATTCCTTCTGTTATGTCGAATGAAGGTGTAACGGAGACCAATGGGAAAGGAGTATGTTATTCGTTTGCCACCTATTTTAAAACTAGCTTCCTTAAATGTAATGGTGATACTTGTGTTTAATTAAACGTTTGCAGTGTTAAAAATAATAACATTGGTGATGTTGATATTGACCCCATGGAAATTTTTAAGCTTCCTTAAGATGTTGACTTGAATAAAGGTGCAGATCCTGACATCTCCCATTTTTACACAGAAATATACTGAAGTATCAATATCGTAGTTTTCATTTCTATTTGACATAAATTTTACTCCATTTGGTTTAATTTTCCAAAAATATAGAACAATTCCTAATTTCCCAAGAAGTACGACTTCTTACTGTACTGAGAGGTACTGAGAGATTAAAAGATGTCTGTTTTTGGACAGACTTCGTTTTGGAATCTTTTTGGAGAATAGTTCTTAGGCAAATACATGTTGCCATGTATTTGCCTAGGGTTGCCCCTGGCAAACAGTAAACCTTGTTTTAAATTTCGCTGATACACTATTAAAGTATAAGTTATTGAAATTTCATTTCTCTATATATGTATATTATCCTTATAAACTATTAACCTTTTTTGTATTTTATATATTTCGGTGCGGTCAAACCATGGTAAGGGCATATCTAACGATTTAAATCTTTGGTCAAAGGTTGTTTTTCATCATGATAACGCTGGACTTCATATATCTTTAGCCACTCAGCAAAAATTAAGCGAGTTTGACTGGAAAGTGATAATGAATCCGCCATATAGTCCTGACCTTGCACCTTCAGATTTCCACCTGTTTTGGTCTCTTCAGAATTCTTTAAGCAGTGTCAGGTTAACATCACGAGAGGACTGCCAAAACCACTTGCTGCTGTTTTTTATCAGAAACCCCAAAATTTCTACAGCAATGGGATCAAGTCCCTACCTACAAGATGGCAAAAAATTATCGAACTAAATGGCATCTACATGGTTAAATGTTAATAAACTTTATTAAAAAATGTTGTGAATTTTGAAATTGAAATCTTTATTGTTTGGAGAAGGTATAAAAAGAGATATGGTAATACGATGGGAATTATTATCAGCGTTTATCAGATAGTGGAACGGCCAGCGACCTACATTAATATTCTAATCAAAATCTATACCTACAATCTTAGAGCATGTACCAACTCAAAGCCTACAATAAACATTTTATTGACGAAGACATTACATTTCTTCTTTTTAAATACTGAAATTGAACGCTTTATGCATTTATCTTTCGCAACGGCTAGTCACAGAATGGGTGGCTTAAAACTTATTACGGTAGTTCTTTAGAGAAAAAAAAATTCAACTTGAAACTTCGTCGTTAGTCCGTATACGAATGCCAGTGGAATTCGGGTAAACGACGAAGTGTAATGAACGGAGTCAAATCGAGTAGATTTCCTTTTGCTTACCCGACACCGTCTTCCAGCCCGTGTTCCAGTGTAAATATTGCTTCGGGTGCCCGAATTCGAGTAATGTCTTTCGTGCACCCAAATACAGGTTAACGACCAAATGTAACTGCAGCTGGAGTAACGTCTGCGCCCCAGCAGTAGGGTATTAGAAAAAGCCCATGATGATGACCTCGGAAGAAATAGTTAAGTTGGCTTGTTTACAAACTCTCATCAAATGTCGACCTAGTTTTATTTCGCTTCTTCTAGGAAAGAAGGCCTACTCTATTTCAACGAAAAACTAAATTTCGATCGAAATTTCGCACGTTTCAAATAATTCGGTCGTCCTAAAATAGTTTCACAATTAAAATTTCCAAGCCTACTCTAATTCACAAAACTTTCACCGAAAAGTTGAATTTGACATAAAATATAATTGTTCGAAATTTTAACCTCAAATTGACTTTGTTTTGGGACTTTTGTTTAAAATGAAGCCGCTTAGCGTGAGGAACATTTTTTAGCATATCAAATTAACAAATACACCAAATTTTAATTAATTTTTATATTTCCAATACTTCAAAGTATTAAACAACTAATTCAGGTTGACATACAATGAAGTGCATCAACTCTACAAATTAGTCGGCTAACACTGCCTTAGTGTCATCAAAAATTTTGTAGTAAAGTAATATTGTTTCCAAGTAAAACAGGTAATCTAAAAGGAGGAGATAAAAGAACTCACAACATGATTCATTCCATTCGTTCACGAAAATTGTCTGTGATCCCGAACTTTATGTGCGTGTTCGAAAATGAAATAGAGTAGAGCCATTGGTGAAATTTTCTTTAAAATTTGTCGTTACCGGAATTTCGTTTCGGAGAAAGAGAGTAGAGCTCCTGACTGAGACTGTATAACCTAAATAAACCTTTTTTTGACCTGGAGAAATGCATGACACATACCCCGCCGCTGAGTAAGGCGACGACGGGGTAAAGTGGGACTCCTCTCCCCACCTCCCATGCACCCACTCAGCCTCCCATAGTGTCGCCGCACACGGGCCACACGCCACAGCCACAAACGCCGCCATGAAAAGCTAGAAGCGGCTACTAAAGTGGCTGAAGCGCGCGACAGCGGCCGACTAAGGTAAGGGAGAGAGGGGTGGGGAATCGCGCGAGTGACGTGTGGCAGCGTTTTGTATCGGCGCATTAAGTGGCCGGTGCGGGCCACAAGAAGCGAGCAACGACGATTTGTAGCGTGTGGCGGCCACCGGCATACCGTGTGTGGCGAGTCCATATAAAATGTATGAAAACTACAAGAAATGTGCTGGTGGCGACGTTTTGTGGTTGTGGTCGGTAGTCCGTGTGCGGCGAGACATAGGGATGATTTAGTGGCTGCTCGGGATGGAGGGTGCCTTCCCACTAAAACTCCGGGATGTGCCCTCCTCTGCCGGACATGATGGCGTGGGTTCCTTATTGGGAATCAAACCACGCCGCCCCGGCGGGCCTGGCTTTACTCCAGGCCACTCCACAACCTAAATAAATCTAACCTAACCTACCTTGACCGAACATCAGGCATAACCCATCAGAAGCTACGTATCCATCAGGACAGCTGCAGACGCCGTAACCTTCGTCATTCCTCACACATTGTATTTCCAGCTCTCCAGCCAAGCAATCATCGTCGACGTCACAACGCTCGCCAACACCTGGTGGAAGAGATTTGAGAATTAAGAGATTTGCACTACCGATATTATCGTTGGATTTGCACGGATAAATTTTTGTTTAACGTGATAAAATATAGCTTATGTAACCCAGATTGTGAAAGAATTTTTGCAATTATTGTTCTTGCAGTTTTTTAGTGTATGTTACAAATATTTTCCCTTAATATTCCTATCTATTTTTTTTATTTTTTTTTAAAGCTTGTAACTGCTTGATGTTTAAATCTAAAGAAAATATAACTAGAAAAAATTCCACGCGGACCAGGCAGCAGACGGGACTCGAACCCGCACCCTCCGCTATCCTGGCGAATGCACTGAGCAATTATACTACCGCAGCCCTAACCGACCGCGTCGAAATTCTTCTAGCCATTCTTAAGCTGCAAGACAGCGCCTGCGCCATCTCTTCGCATTATAAGTAACCCACAATGTCAAATGAATACTTTTACAAATATTAATTTGACATAAATATTCCTATCTGACTAACTGTCTACGACTTCATTTACTTGGTTTAATTAACAAAATCTTACACCCCATTTTACATTCTCCAATTTCTTTTTTCACAACGAAAAGTAGTATATATATGACTGTCTTTACAGTTCCAATTATCTACTACCAATAGTTAAATACCAATGTTCAGTTTAATCGATTCACTGATTTACGCGTGAAAGCGTAAAAACACAGTAATATCCTCAATTATATTTTTAGTCGGGATGATATCTACATATATGTTAAAAGACCGATAAACTACGTTAACCATAATAATAAAATTTTGTCACTTCACCAGAGAACAGCGCGCACAGTTGCCTCCTCTCGTTCCATATAGTCTCCGACGCGCAGTAACACTGCCTCAGCCCCCAAGTAGTCTCCGGCCCACAGCGGCCTGCCACGCCGAAAGTGTGGCAGCCCGCGTCAGAGAAACAGAAGTCCGACAGACGCACCGCAGCTGTACGTAAAATGAAGAGAGACATTTTCTAAACCAAAACTTAAATTTGACAACAGTGTATCCTGGTCATTCTCCATACAGAATGAAAAGGAGTGCTAAAAAATAGCGAACAACTCCAAGTGTAAATTAATAAGAAATTAGCTAAAGAAATATAACATATTAATGAAGACCAGTATAAATATGCATTGATAAACATTTCAGGAAACTTGATTAACTCATTTTAAAAATAACACTTCTTCAATCTTTTCGCTCTCCTGAAAAGTAGCTATTTTGCAGATATCTCTTTTTACTTTGCACTATATAGACCAGAATTGGGAGTTAGACTTTGAAACTCACCATAAATTAAAAAATCACACTTACGCTTAACACAGCCTCTCATGGCCTCATCGTAATAGAAATTCACGTGACAAGTACAGATGCCGTTTCGCACTTCGGTGAAGAGACCAACACATTGATCTGCTGAAGTAACTGGTGATCCCATTTCTATTAAAACAAATACAATTTGGAATTGTTAAAGCAAATTATAGTGCCGCATTTGCCTGTCACTTTACTGGCTAACTTAATTTATGCTGAATGAAACAAAAAAAAAGGGTACAGGCAAATTAATTCTAATTACGAATTTATATCATCCATACAGCATTAAACTTGAAGATTATCTTTCTCAACACATGAACAAACATGAAAATTATTTTCGGAATACAATTTAGACAGTAATCCTGTAGCATGCTAAGAAAAAGGGGTATTCTAACAAAAGGACAAAGAATTGAGTCTGTAAACATTAAATCACTTACCAGCTAAGCAGATCGTTCCAGCTGCATTAGGGTAGTAACCCAAAGGACAAGTGCATATCCTAAGACTCGAACATTGGAATGGTGCTTGACAACCGCTGTCATCGCTGCATACGACTCCGTGTTGCCTAGTCAATTCACGAGTTTTTGTCGAAGAAACAGGTTCTTCTTTATCTGCCTCTTTTCTGTTCACTTTAATAGTATTTGTTATAGAAGTAGTATTTATTCCAGCCGTATGTGTTTTGGTTTCGAAAGAATTTGAAGATGCTGTAAGAAAATAAACATAGCACGCCTGATTTTCACAAATTAAAAAATAAGTTGTATTAAAAACTGAATCATTAAATGGACCCCGATAACATGACTTTCCTATTTCGGGCAGTCCTACCTACAATTGGTAGGTTAACAACAGAAAATAGAATCTAGTCTATAATAGAAAATTGTACAATTTTCGTTTCTTCATATTTTTAAAGATTTATGTTTTATTATCCCAATAAGTTTATTTGTCCAGGTTCAAAGTCGTTCAGCGCGCTATGGAAAGGGCTATGCTCAGCGTTTCTCTGAAGGATCGCATCAGAAATGAGGTAATCCGACAGAGAACCAAAGTTATCGACATAGCCCATCGGATTAGCAAGTTGAAGTGGCAGTGGGCTTATTTGCTGAAGAACCGATAACCGTTGGGGTAGACGAGTTCTGGAGTGGAGACCGCGTCTAGGCAAACGTAGTGTAGGACGTCCTCAGGCACGATGGAGTGACGATTTGCGAAAGATGGCAGGAGCTGGATGCGAATAGCCCAAGATCGATCTGAGTGGCGTGCATTTGGAGAGGCCTATGTCCAGCAGTGGACTAAGATGGGCTGTTGATGATGATGATGATGAAGTTTATTTGATTGATAAGCAATTGAGCACTGGGGACAAATGACTAAGTACTAGAATCGAGGAGACAGAAAAAACATTTGTAACGCGACACCACGCGACGCGTGTTGAGTGTCAAAGTCAAGTTGAAATGTACCTTTTTTCTATGATCAGAATCACATTAGGAACATCCGACGCGACCCGATGCAACTTAGAAAATACGCATCGCGTGGCGTGGAGTGGCGTCGCGTTTCAAAAGTCTTTTTGGGCAAATGTCGTTCGAGGTGTGTCAGAGTTTGAATGAGGAGTGAAAATGATAACGCTATGTCAGTATTAGATACTGGGCACAGCCATCTCACCAGTAATACAGGTGAGTGTAGACATCTGACAGCTGGCGCCGGCAAACTGACAGTCCTCGTCGATGACACACATGTCGCCAACGGCTGCAACGAAGAATTCAAGATATTTCATCAAATGCTGAGACAACAAGACAAGAGATCATGTGACAATGCAACAGAACGGAAATCAAGATTTAAAAATAAGATTTAAAATAAGATAGAGATATAAGATAGAGAGCTTAAACTCTTCCACTTACCCAAAGCACTCTTCCTGCACTCCCCCCGCTGCCTCAAGTAGTACCCCGGGGCGCATTGACAGGTGCCTTCCGTGCAGCTCATGCTGAACGGATCCCGCAGAACGTACATGCACTGCTCGTCGGTGGAGCAAGCCTCCCCCCACTGGGTTGAAGGCCAGCAGCGGCCGCGGAAGTAGTGGTTTCCTTCGCGGCAGAAGCACTGACCGGCTGCGAAAGAAAACCGAGTGAAGGCACGGACAATGGGGCGTACTTGACCGCAACTTCAGAACAAAGATAGAGGTTAGAAGGGCCCTGTTGGGCGGGGCAGGCGCTCTGATTGGCTCGATTGTTTGATGTCGCATCGTTTGATTGGCTATTATCAATTAGGTGTAAGTGTAGTGGGGGCGAGCCGGCGACATTGGTTCCCGTACAAATCGTCTCCAAATCTTTCACCATTACGGCTATACGTCTTTGGAATGCTTTGCCATTGAATATTCGCAGTGCTCGTAGTAAGTATTTGTGTAATCTTCAATCATCTGTAACATCATAATTAGTTATTTCTAACTAGTTTATTACATGTTAATAATTATATGTGTATGTTTATTATATATATATATATATATATATTTATTTATATGTGTATTAATGATATTTGATTATTATATAACATTTATTTATCGTTTATTATAGTATAGTTAAGTAGGATAATATATATGTTTTTATAACTTTAGTAGCTCGCACTCTATCGACATAACATTCGTCTCCCACACCCTTACTGGTTGACTGGTAGAAAATGCCTATGGCATTTAGTCCGCCATTTACTGTATTTTGGTAAAGAAGAATAAAATAAATAAATAAATACAAATGGTCAATCAGCCTTCTAACCTCTGTCTATGTTTAACTAGCCGCTCACTGGGCCGGAACGACTGGTCGTTGCGGCCGACTTGCGTATAGCTTTCTATGGGTACGGCCAGAGTGCACTCAGATTCAGATTCAGACTCAGAAAACAAGCGCGAGAAATAAACAGTGTAGTCTAAACAGGTTGCCTGCTTTCTATTGGCAGGGGTTTTTACTATTTTTACAAAAAAAAATATTCACAATTTTACTAAAAACTAACGAAAAAGATAATAGTTTTCTCATCTATTGTCACGTGACCCAAAACGCTTGGGATTGGCGGAGCCTAAAATGACGTCATACGCAAGCAAACTTCCGATCAAAGTGACATTTCATTGTATCGTTTGACGTTTTAATAACGGTCGTGTGACGTCAAACACTAGTAAGACGCCATATTGTCCATAAAAACGTTTTCACGGCAACATGAAAATGGAGTTTTTGATTTGGTTATTTTTACTATCAACAGAATGATAAATAAATAATTAAATATCCACTTTTTACGGACTCCATAAACATTAGTCAATAACGTGAGATCGTTTTCTAAAACTTATCAAATACCCTATTTTAAATACAAAGCCATTAACTGAGCAAGTTTATCTGTAATTTTTAGTAATTAATTTTATCTAACCTTCAGTGGTTGAGGAGTTGGCTGGTCTTCTACATTCGAAGTTCGTGAACAACCTGGAGCATTGGAAGTCATCGAAACATGAAGATGTGTGGTAAGGTGCCGCTGGAAAGAACACATAAAAATTTTATTTGATGTTTTGCTCGGATAAATATATTGTACCATTGTATCTTTAACTAGTTAAAAATTGGTTCGCTTGTATGTTTAGTCCTCCTTTTAAAATCCTTTTTAGGGTTCCGTACCTCGAAAGGAAATACAGAAACCCTTATGGGATTACTTTGTTGTCCGTCCTAGGGTTGCCAATTTTTATTCTTTCAAATATAGTATGTTCGAAGCTGTAACCTCTAAAAATATAGTAGATAGCAAAAAAATTTCAAAAATATAGTATGTGGTTAAAATATTTACTTTATTCTTGAAATGAGTATATTTTTGCTGCATTCCAGCATAATACCTAATTCAGTAATTATTTTTAACAAAGCTTTTACTTGTAAAAGTCTGCTTTAAGCAAAATATAGTAGTGTCGCCTACTATGTAAGAAATATAGTATTTATTTGTTTCTTAGGTTTTCACGCACATCACTCATTAAATAAAACTAGTTTAAACGGGATAATGCACGAAACTTTATTTATTTATTGACGTTTCGTAGCCTTTCCAGGCTTCGTCGTCAGAATAAAACTTTTGTTTAATTTGTCGAGCTACCTTCGAAAGACTTTTATTGAGCGTTTGGTTATTTCATCGTTCGATTTTTAAGTTTTATTGTCTATGTATGAATTTATTATTTAATTTACTTAATAAAGTATTTTATTTAAAATTCTTGTTTGTAATTTTGCGTTTATTTATTTGACCCTACCTACCGTAAACTACCACCGGTTCCAAAATTGGGAGACCTTCCTGAGAAGAACCGGCGAAACAAACTCAAGAGAGGCTTTCTATCTCCTTCTTATGTTAAATTATGCAAACAAAAAGAACTAATAGTATCTGATGGTCTTGCAGTATGTGCTCGGGGTTGGGATTTTATCTCCTGTATAATAGGTTCCCAAGCTGTACCACCAGCTACCACTTTATTAAGTAAATTAAATAATAAATTCATACATAGACAATAAAACTTAAAAATCGAACGATGAAATAACCAAACGCTCAATAAAAGCCTTTCGAAGGTAGCTCGACAAATTAAACAAAAGTTTTATTCTGACGACGAAGCCTGGAAAGGCTACGAAACGTCAATAAATAAATAAAGTTTCGTGCATTATCCCGTTTAAACTAGTTTTATTTAATATAGTATTTGATCCCCTAATATAGTAGGATACTACATTATATAGTAGGGTTGGCAACCCTCGTCCGTCCGTCTGTCAAGACTTTTTTCTCAGGAACGCATGGAGGTATTAAGCTAAAATATATATCAAATACTCAGGATATGATATTAATATTACCTTGATCACATCTTGAACCACCCAACACATTCTGGGTTCCTGCTGGACACACGCACTCCCCGTTACTGCACACGCTGCCCGTCAGAGCGGAACAGTCATCGTTCTGTGAGCACGACCATATCGCTGAGACGTAGTGATAGTTCACAAAGCAAGCTGAAATATAACGATATTTTTTTTACTCAAACATATTTTCGAATAGCTTGCGTGTACAAAATGTCATTGTCAAATTTTGTATGGAAACTTGAACAGTAGTGCTACGAACTGAGAGAAGAAAACTTGAATATTAACGTTGTACATTTTTGATATTTTGGAATGGTTAGGGAATAATTTTGCACGAGTTGCTTTAATTATCAGTATAAAGTACTACCATGTATGTGGTAGATTACAATATTTATTTATTCTCTATCGTACACAAACATAACAATTTATATTACATTAAAAAAGTTTATCTCTCAGAATAATCAATTTACATGAATCACGTTTAAGCGCACTTAGCGACATCTATTGTAAAGGAAACATCTTACATGAATCACATTTAAGCGCACCTAGCGACATCTATTGTAAAAAAATGCATTTTCTTCACAATAAAGCTGCCACGTGGACGTCCTAGATAGAGACTTATTATTATAATACGGTAAAATAAAATATTACTATGTTTCGTCCAATATATTGAAAGTGAAACAACCTTTCTAATTTTATAGTGTGTCATGATGCGATCAGCCCACGTGTTTAACCTGACGCGAGTTACATTTTTTACTTATACAAAAAAAAGTGTACAACGCCGCTAAAGAAGTTTTCACTTCAAAAAACAAAATCAATTCCTACTGAACAACCAAGCGGAATCACTCGAGTATAGCGAACTCCACAAAAGTGCACCGCCATTTTCCAAAAAGGAGAAGAAGAAGAAGAACAGTAGTGCCACAACGGACGTAACGAGAGCTAAACATCAATACACATTTTTCAACTATTCGAATTCGATAATGGTTCGTGGAAGGAGTTTTTTTTTAGGAAATAACCACTTCGACCGGTCTAGATTCGACGGAGACTTCCGATATCAGGGCGAATGCACTAAACCACAGATATAGACGCATTTATTAGATTATTAAATAATTATTAAATAATCTGTGGACGTAGATCGATATAGATAACGCAAGTGTATGTATTTCGCGTGCCAAAAGCAGGAGCGGATTTACGTTGGCGGGTCCGCTTGCGGACAATCACCTTGCGGGTGGGCGGACTATTCGGAAACGGATACCGCCACATCACTCGCACTCCCGGTGCGCACTAGGAGGGACCGCGGTCCCTCATAATGCGCGCCGGGTGACCGGTGCAGGAGTATTGTCTAGTTTTTACGGTCGCCCTTGTGGCGGTCGCCTTCGTGGCGAGGTAGGGCCCCGCTTGCTTCTCGGAGCACTTGTGTTCCCTGAAGCGGCGGAGAGGAGTCCCCGATTGCTTCGTCCGCAACCCTCGGTAGGCGAAGTATGCGTAATGCTTTTTCTAGACATTAAAAAAAAAAAAAAAAAAGGAGCGGATTTACGTAAGGGCTTGGAGGAGCTAGAGCACCGGGCCCCGCAGTGGCCCCCGTCATCCCGAAAAGAAGTTTGACCTGTACATGTAATAATAATAATTTATTCATAAATGATTGGGTTTACAATAGTTAGTGGCAGGAGTCCCCTTTTAAGCAAATGTATCCCTCCCTTCTACATAGGAAAAAGTTCTTGCCAATAATCCAATAAATACAGTTGCTTAGAGAGTAACATAACTTGTTTTATTGGCTAACATTCCCATTAATGCATATAAATAATGCATAAAAGCGGAATTTGGAAAAATTGGAAATCTGATGATTTTCATATCCTTAAATGGGCCCCGCATCAATTTCAGCCCCGGGCCCCACCATTTTTAAATCCGCTCCTGCAAAAGGCAGACCGATGTTCTTCCTTTTTTTCAGCCGTTCTCGAAACAGGACGTCAATCGTAATGTTTTAAAAAAATTAACTTTATATTTTTTAAGCATTCAACTGCTTCACGTATAGAACTAAAGATATTTTTCTTAAAAAAATAAATTAATATGATTATAATTGCTATTTCTTCTTTCGAATGTTTAATACTTTATTTTTAAATTTATTTATCAAATATAATTTTAAACTGTTAACTGATTAACAGTTTATTGGCGAAAATTCACTCATTGTACTACAAAAACAATGCCTATGTTTTTATCCAATTTAGTTTGGACTTAAATTAAACCATTCATTCATTACATACACCTATCCTAACATGCCAATGCCACTTGTGAAGGTATTCATTTGACATTGTGGGTTACCTACATACAATGCGAAGAGATGGCGCTGCCTTACAGCCTAAGAGAGCCTAGAGAGAACCGACACGGCCATCAGGGCCGCGGTAGCATAATAGTCAGTTCATTCGCCCGGATAGCGAAGAGTGCGAGTTCCCTAGTCTCTACACCGACTATCTGGTCCGCGCAAATTTTTTTCCAGTAAAATTTTCTTTAGAATATCGAATATCTAATGACGTCATATTAAGCTGTAAAAACAATACTTAATTGAAATAGGTGACTGCAGCCCATGCTTTTTAACCCCTTATTTGTTTTTTTTTTATTCGGGTTGCAACAGTCTACCCCACCCCACCTAAAATTTATTTATTTATTTTTAGGGAAATAACAGCATTAATTTTCACATAAAAAATATAACATTAAGTTTAACAATTGCCTAGGTAATTTCCACTATTATTTATCTCACATAGGGTCTCATAAACATGAGAGAAAAAAATAATAAATTTTTGACATCATAATGAACACAAACTAAACAAAAAGAAATAAAAATGTTGTGCTTAAAACGAGTTACAAATTAGTTTTTTGAATTTCAAAGAATTAAGATTAAATATAAAATGAAATTAAACTTTATTCAAATTGACTCATTGAAAGCACTTTTGAATCGTCCAATATTATTTCCTACTACCCATTTAGGAGATCTTTTAGCTGCTGAGAAGAATGGGCGCAAGAAAATCATCAGCATATAACAGAAGTAGCAACATTAACAAAAAAAACATGTTGCCAGTGCCGTCTTTGACCTATTGGAGGCCCTGGGCATATTAGGATAATGGGGCCCTTATGACATGAGTAGCCCCATGTAACATCAACTTCAAATAATTTTCCGAGCATGTTTCAGTTAAATGCCTAGGCCTACGATCCAAAAATATTGAGGCGATGAAAACTGCTGTACGTGATCCGACTGCATTACCCTACGAAGGACGAGGAGATCGTAGAGTAACTGCGAATAAAGACCAAGTTCTCCCTGAGAGTCGCACTGTTGGAGTCCCTACACAATGAGGATGCCATGCCAGCCGAACATCTGGCGACTTTCATGAAGGAAAATCTTTGGCCGAATGGTGTTGTGTTCCGGTGACTCCGAGGCGTAACCTGACACCACTCCCCGTCACACGTCGCCGTCTATCCGTGTCAATTAGGTTTTTACTAACATAATTATTATTTTTATTTAATAACGATAATGATTTATATCTGTATATGTGTTAGAATATAAGGTATTTATCTACGAGCCTACGTAGCCTAGCCTACCTAGCCTCATTTACAAATTAAAAAAATCACATACATTTTTGCAATTTTTTCTAGTTAAACTTTTCTTTAGATTTAAGCATCTAGCAGTTAAATGCTTAAAAATAATAAAAACATACCTAAAAAAATCACTTTAAAAGCCGGCTGTAGGGTGTGCATATGAGGATTTTAAACCGGCTTCCACGCCCGGATGGCAACAAATTCCACATATACAAAATATACTCAACATTCACTTACCTAGTAATACTAAAATCCTACACTGAAACATATTTTTGACACTTAAATTAACTTATTCACTAAAGGCCGTGCTCGAAAAGACTAAATAATGATTATGAACTTATCTCAATAATTAGTGTACGATAATTTGGTATTATAGACTTATGCATTGTCAGATAGGTACGCAATCACACATCTGTCGGTCTGGTCGATTAATCACTTACAGATATAAAAAAAAGGATTAGGTATAAGCTTTACTTTAGTGTTAGGCTGGGGATACACATGCCAGTAAATCGGGAAAGTAGCTGGCATGGAAGTTACTGCCATGTACGAGTAACATTTGCAAGTAAAAATGTGCCCTTGCATGCCAGTATTACCATCGCGTATACACAGGACAGTGGGCCAATCGCCTAACCAGATTGCTTTGGAAACGCTATCGCTTACGATTTCATTTTGTTATTTCTAACCGCCGAAATACCTCACGCTCATTTTCTTTAACATTGTTATTACCAATGCAAAAGAAAAAAAAAGCGCGAGGCATTTGAAAACCTCAGGGGGCTAGAAATAACAAAATGAAATCGTAAGCGATAGCGTTTTCCAAAGCAATCCAGTTAGGCGATTGGCCCCCAGTTCGTGAGAGTCACTCGTACCTACCTATTCTTGCGCGCCAAGTTGAAGTTGAAGTGACTTAAACAAAATCGTGTTGTTACTAGCATTGAATTCAGATTTAATTCATCTTCTATTTTGCTGTAGGCATTGGCACATGCTATTTTGTTTCTGTAAAGCGAGCTAGTCGGCTTCCAAAGACATTGGTATTCTCTGTACATGTGAATGAACTGTATAGTTCTCTCATCTCCCCATCGTGCCATGTTGAATACAAAAACCAAAAAAAAAAACTAAAAAAACTTGACCTCCGAAATCAAAATAAAAATCCTGCGCCTACGCCCACAACGAGTCGGCTACGGGCATGCCCGTAGCTGTCGCGTCTGTTCACACGTGCCAGGTTAGCAGCCCCCCGCGTCCCCTCCCTCAACGGGCATGCAAGTAAATCAAATGTTGTGCTAGCTGCATGCATGCCAGTATGCCAGTATTACAGGCATGCCAGTTAGCGTATACACATGACAGTAGCTGGCACATGCAAGGAGCTGGTATGCTAGTGTGCAAGCTACGGGCATGTGTAGCCCCAGCTTTATAAATGTAGAAAATCTCTTGTGTTTTCTTCTAATTTCTATTACACTGAAAGGTATAAAATATAATAAAAGCGGGCACCAGACAAGTTAAGTTTTTTTTAAATCTCTTTGGTACCTAACTTTTTTTCCGGGATAAACAGTATCCTATGTCTCTTTCCAGGTTATAAACTATCTGTGTGTAAAATTTCATCCAAATTAATTCAACCATTTTTGCGTGATAAAGTAACAAAGACACAAACTTACAAACTTCCACATTTACTGAATTTGATTATCAATTCTTTTTCTACTTCTGTATGTAATACGGGTACTGCGCCTGAAATAAATGTTTATTATTATTATTTACAATGTTAGTAGGATTGGAATAGATTTATTCAAGGTTACTGCTGCCGCAACCTTACAGTTCTCTAAGTGTCGCCGCACACGGGCCACACGCCACAACCACAAACGCCGCCACGAGAAGCTAGAAGCGGCTACTAAAGTGGCTGAAGCGCGCGACAGCGGCCGACTAAGGTAAGGGAGAGAGGGGTGGGGATCCCGCGAGTGACGTGTGGCGGCGTTTTGTATCGGCGCATTAAGTGGCCGGTGCGGGGCACAAGAAGCGAGCAACGACAATTTGTAGCGTGTGGCGGCCACCGGCGTACCGTGTGTGGCGAGTCCATATAAAATGTATAAAAACTACAAGAAATATGCCGGTGGCGGCGTTTTGTGGTTGTGGTCGGTGGCCCGTGTGCGGCGAGACTAAGAAGTGAGAATGCAGCCAAGTGCGGGTCGGTGTCACAAACGAAGGGGGTACGGGACGTTTAATGGTGTCTCTGTTTGTCACTGTCAATGAATGCAAAACTCGTTCAATCTGACGTTCAATATTATTTTTTGCTTTTAAATTAAGAATTTTGCTGTTGATTAAAAGTTTATCCAGGTGTAAAACTAAGCTGACTGAATGATTACTAATAATATCGTAACCGCAAAGGTATTCCATCGCTAATCTGGGATTAACTACTCTTTGTGTAAGTTCGGGTTAGCACGATTACGGAGAATTTTTAAGTTTCTCAAGTGTTAAGTGCTAATTCACGGTGCATACAATATAATAATATTAAAATAATGCCTTTACTGTTATAAAACCACCCAGTAAAATTGCCATTGTCGTGGCAGTAAATAATTACAAAAAAACATATCTACGAGATTAGTATGTCTACATTGATTTATCACAATATGCAGGTGTACAGATAACGACTGTTAACAACACAGTTGCGAAGGATTCATCATAATATATACTATCTCTACGTATAAAAATCAATCGCTACATGTATGATACATTACTTGAGGATGTCTGTGGTCTGGTATTGACGGATTGCTTAGATCAGTGTTTCCTAACCTTTCCAATACTGCTACCCCTGTAACCTATTAGGGAAACAGAATTTAACCCCGACTTTAAAATGTTATCATCAGTCTTTTTGTCCGCTACATCTTCGTATCTAATAATGTCATCATCAGGAGAGAATCTCGCCCCGCTTCCCACACTCAGCACCCCGCGGGCTCACTAGCAAGAAGGAGCGCATGCTCTATTTAGTAGTATTATTTAGATTTGACCAAATAATTAGGTTCTTTCTTACCCCCGAATTATGGCTGATTTACCCCCGGAGGGGTAATTACCCCCAGGTTCGGAACCCAGGGCTTAAATGATTCTTATATGATCAATCCCATGATCCCTAGAGTTCTTTTTTTATATCTAGGTAGGCAAATGACTCTGCCCCACCTGATGTTAAGCGGTGACAAAGTCCAGACGCGTAGATAGCGGGTACAGCAGTTTAAACTGCCACACCAACCATCCTCACCTTGCCGGCCTGCAGAAATGCTTCACGCCTCTTTTAAAGGACCCCAGATTGTAGGAGGAACACGTGCGCGGGCAAATAATTCCACTTGCGAATAGTACGACAAAGAAATGAGTCAGTGTGGGCCTCACTCACGGTAATATTATCCATACAGTATTCTATCTTCATACAAACGGTCGGAAAGCGTGTCTTACCTACGCCACTCGAGTTCGCGCGGCACCCGGTGGGCATCCAGTCGCGAATGCGCCGCAGCGACGACCGAACGGTGTGAATTGTTTTTTAAGCAGTTAGCCGTGCTTAAACATTTGTATTGTAAATATTTGAATTAAGTAGATACCTACATAATTTAATATGGCAAAGAGCATTAGTCGAAATTGTGCTGTTTTTGGTTGCTTGAACTCTTCAATAATTAAACTTTTTATTCGAATGTGTATTTATTAAACTATTAAATTGAATAATAAAGCTTTTCGTACGTCTCAGTCGAGGCGTAAATATTTTTCTGTCTCAAATCTATATTTTTTTTTTATTAAATATTACACTTATGAAATTAAAATACTGTAGGCGGGCAGCCCTGCCGCGTGGGTACGCCCCGCTCGGCCGTAGGCAGTTATTTCAAGGACAGGGCCGAGTCACAATACTGTATAGATAATATTCCCGTGCCTCACTGAAGCTGCGAATCTAGTTTAATGCCTAAGAATACTGTAGGGTCTACCCGGTCCATATTCTTATACTTGATAATTACATATTGGTTTGTGTCTGCTGTACATTGGATAATAAAAATTTTAAACATTTAGTTTTACCTTCATTAAGAAGTAAATTATTAGTATTAAACCAGTGAATTACTTTAGAGATGACATTGTTCATATCGTCAATAAGTGGTTGCTTTCGTTTAATTTTAAATAAAAGTGAAGTATCATCTGCATACAATACTATCTCGAGATTTTCCCTAAGAAAGTAAAGGAAAGGAAGTCATTTATATAAATCAGGGCTTGAAACCGGTTTCGAAAATTCCGGTAAATAAAGGTTAATACCGGTTTTTAGTAAAGGTTTCGTTCGGAGAGCGACCGAAATGAAAGTGGTACCTAAAACCTTAATAAACCGGTTTAATCCAGAGCGACACGTGCATGCGTCGGCATCGCTTGAATTTTGTTTTGTGTGAACTAATGAAGTCACAACTTGTTAATGCAGAGAGATTGGTGCATTTATTGACACGTTTGCTAGCGTCTAGTGAGTCAAGTTATTGATTTATTATCGATGCCGTCAGAAAGAGCGCAATGAAACCCTTTAAAAACAGCTAAACTGATTCAAAACCTTTTTGATATCGCTCTTTAGGAAAACCGGTTTTTTAAGGTTAAGGTAGAGCCAAACCTAAATAAAAAAATGCTCCTAATGTACTTGACACTGATTTAGGTTTGAAAAATAACCGATAAACAAGCCCTGACATAAATTAAAAACAATGGACCAAAAATCGAGCCCTGTGGAACATCCATCTTTACAAATGAATCGGGAGCTCTTTTGCCATTGATGTCACTTATCTCGATCCTATCGCTCAAATATGACACAACGAGGTCCAGAACGCTACCTTTAAATCCATAGTGTCGCAATTTCTTGATTAATGTTCCATGAAAAACGCAACCAAAAGCTTTGGACAAATCGCAAAAGACACCTTAAGCGTCACGTAACGCCTCCCAGGCATCAAAAATATGTGATAAAAGCTCAACAATAGCATCGGTATTTAAGGAAATAGCAAAAAGGCTAGTCGACATCACAGGAGACCGAAAAGCTGGCAGCTACCTCGGACTAAGAATTAGTCTAGCTATTCAAAGGGGTAACGCTGCCAGTATCTTCGGATCCTTGCCTAAAGGGACTCCTTTTAATAATATATTTTAGTTATTAATTCTATTTTTTAAGGTTATTAGTTTTAGTTTTATTGTTCTAGAATATATATATAGAGTAATTATGTACTTAGATTGTTTTCTCATGTAAATGTAATAATAATAAAGGCATCAGTTGTTAAATTCCATATACTCCATACACTCAAGTCCACGGTCCCTTTAAGCTGTGAGAAAATTAAACTTCTAAATTAGCACAAAAAAGAGATAGGGCTGCTTATGTTTTGTACATATTAATATGTACGGAACCGTCCGTGGCCTAGTCAGGCTTGCACTTGTCTAGTATTTTTAGTTCTTCATTTATATTTTTAAAGACACTAAGTTGACCTTCAACTATAATAATTTACCAAGTTCTTACCATAAATATGACGTCATATCGTAACGTTGATGACGTCAGATGGTCGTGAAGCAAAGGAAAT